AAAGAAAATCCTCTTGACACATAATAATCAAAACACTAAATGCATAGAACAAAGAAAGAATATTAAAAGCTGTAAAAAAAAATGTCAAGTAACATATAAAGGCAGGCCTATAAGAATTACACCAGATTTCTCAACAGAGACAATGAAACCTAGAAGATTCTGGGCAGATGCCATCCAGAACCTAAGAGAAAACAAATAGCACCCTAGAATAATATACTCAGCAAAATTCTCACCATAAGTTGAGAAACCAAGATATCCCATGACAAAACAAAATTTAAACAATATCTTTCTACTAATCCAGCTCCACAAAGGATACAGGAACAAAATCTCCAACACAAGGAAGGTAACTACATCCAAGAAAACACAAGAATTTAATCTTTCACAACAAACCCGAAAGAAGAAAATCATATACTCATAATATCACCTCCAGCAACAACAACAACAACAACAAAAACCAAGAAACTAACAATAATATGTCTTTAACATCTCTCAACATCAATTGACTTAATTTCCCAATATACAGGCTAACAGACTGGATATGGAACCAGGATCCAGCATTTTGCTGTATACAAGAAACACACCTCAGTGACAAGGAGAAACTCTACCTCAGAGTAAAGGGCTGGGAAAAAAAGTGTTCAAAGCCAATAGTCCCAAGAAACAAGCTAGAGTTGCCATTCTAATATCCAATAAAATAGACTTTCAACCAAAAGTTATCAAATGAAACAAGGAAGGACATTTCATATTCATCAAAGGAAAACTCCACAAAGATTTTTCTCAATTCTGAACATCTGTGCCCCAAATGCAAAAGTACCCACATTCATAAAAGAAACTTTACTAAAGGTCAAAACATACATTGAACCTCACACAACAATAGTGGGAGACTTAAACACCCCACTCTCACCAACAGACAGGTCATAAAAACAGAAACTAAACAGAAACACAGTGAAACTAACAGAAGTTATGAACCAAATGGATTTAACAGATATCTACAAAACATTTCACCCCAAAACAAGAGAATATACCTTCTTCTCAGCACCTCATGGAACCTTCTCCAAAATTGACCATATAATCAGATATAAAACAAACCTCAACAGATACAAGAAGATTGGAATAATCCTATGTGTTCTACCAGACCACCACAAACTAAGGCTAGACTTCAATAACAAGAAAAACAACAGAAAGCCCATATACTCATGGAAATTGAACAACTCTCTGCTCAATGATAACTTGGTCAGAGAAGACTTAAATAAAGAAACCAAAGACTTTATAGAAGTCAATGAAAATCAACACACATCATACTCAAACTTATGGAACACAATAAAAGCAGTGATAATAGGAATTCAATAGCACTAAGTGCCATCAAAAAGAAATTGGAGAGACTCATACAGGTAACTTAGCATCACTCCTGAAATCTCTGTAACAGAAAGAAGCAAACACACCCAAGAGGAGTAGATCACAGGAAATAGTGAAACTCCCAGCTGAAATCAACCAGTTAGAAATAAAGAGAATGATACAAAGATTCACAAAAACAAGATCTGGTTCTTTGAGAAAATCAACAAGATAGCCAAACCCCTAGCCAAACTAACTGAAGAACAAAAGAACAGTATCCAAATTAACAAAATCAGAAATGAGAAGAGAGATAACAACAACAGAATCTGAGGAAATTCAAAATATCAGAACCTACTACAAAAAACTGTACTCTACAAAACTGGAAAATCTAGAAGAAATGTATGATTCTCTAGATAGAAACCATGTACCAAAATAAAATCAAGATCAGGTAATCTATCTAAATAATCCATAACCACTAAGGAAACAGAAACAGTCATCAAAAAACTCCTATCCAAAATAAGCCCAGGGCCAGATGGTTTTAGTGCATATTCTATCAGATTCAAAGAAGAGCTAATACTCCTCAACTATTCCACAAAATAGAAACATCATTAACACTATCTAATTCATTCTATGAAGTCACAGTTACTCTGATACCTAAACCACACAAAGAACCAACAAAGAAAAAGAATTTCAGACCAATCTAACTTAGGAATATAGATACAAAAATACTCAATAAAATTCTCACAAACCAAATCCAAGAATACATCAAAACCCTCATTCACCATGATCAAGTAGGCTTCAGCCCAGGGATGCAGGGATATGTATGATATATCCATCAATGTAACAAACTATATAAACAAACTCAAGGGGGAAAACACACGATTATCAACACCCCTTCATGTTAAAAGTCCTGGAGAAATCAATAATTCATGGTACATACCTAAGTATAATAAAAGCAATATATAGCAAGCCAATAGACAACATCAAATTAAATGACAAGAAACTAGAAGCAATCTCACTAAAATCCAGGACAAGACAAAGAGGCCCTCTCCCCATATCTATTCAATATAGTATTCGAAGTTCTAGCTAGAGCAATTAGATAACAAAAGGATATCAAGGTGATAGAGATTGGAAAGGAAAAAAATCAAAGTATCCCTATTTAAAGACAGTATGGTAGTATATATAAGTGACTCCCAAAATTCCACCAGAGAACTACTAGAGCTGAGAAATATCTTCAGCAAGATAGCAGCATATAAAATTATCTGAAACAAGTTAGTAGCCTTCCTTTATATAAATGATACACAGGCTGAGAAAGAAATTAGGAAAGAAACAATACCCTTCACAATAGCCACAAATAGTATAAAATATCTTAGTGTAACTCTTACCAAGCAAGTGAAAGATCTGTACAACAAGAACTTCAAATCCCTGAAAAAAGAAACCGAAGACCTAAGACGATAGAAAGATCTCCCATTCTCATGGATTGGTGGGATTAACAAAGTGAAAATGGCCATCTTACCAAAAGCAATCTACAGACTCAATGCAATCCTCAGCAAAATTACAACACAATTCTTCACAGACATGGAAAAAGCAACTATCAACTTCATATGGATAAACAAAAACCCAGAATAGCTAAAACAATTCTCAACAATAAAAGAACTTCTCTGGGAAATCACCATCCCTGACCTCAAGCTGTACTACAGAGCAATAGTGATAAAAACTTCATGGTATTGGTACACAGACACACAGGTTGATGAATGGGATAGAACTGAAGACCCAGAAATAAACCCACACATTTATGGACAAAATATACAAAGAACCCAAGAAGTTAACCTCCAAAAAAAAAAAACAAAACAAATAACCCAATTAAAAAATGGAGAACAGAGCTAAGCAAAGAATTCACAACAAAGGAATCTCAAATAGCCGAGAAGCACTTAAGAAATGTTCAAAGTCCTTAGTGATCAGAGAAATACAAATCAAAACGGACCCTGAGATTCCACTTCACACCAGTCAGAATGGCTAAGAACAAAAACTCAGGTGACAGCACATGCTGGCAAGAATGTAGAGAAAGAGGAACACTCTTCCATTGCTAGTGGGATTGCAAACTGGTACAACCATTCTGGAAATCAATCTACAGTTCTTTAGAAAATCGGAACTAGATCTACCTGAAGACTCTATACCTGAAGAGCCATACTGCTCTTGGACCCAAAAGATGCCCCACCATGCCACAAAGACACATGTTCCACCATGTTCATTGCAGCCTTATTTGTGATAGCCAGAAGCTGTAAACAATCCAGATGTCCCTCAACAGAAGAATGAACACAGAAAACGTGGCTCATTTACACAATGGAATACTATACAGCTACTAAAAATGAGGACATCGTGAATTTTGCAGGCAAATGGATGGAACTAGAAAATATCATCAGTTATAATATCAGTTATAAGGTAACTCAGACCCAAAAACCACATGCATGGTATGTACTCAGTAATAAGTGGATATTGGCCAAAAGGTACCAAACACCTAGGATACAACCTACAGACCTTAACAAATGTAATAAGCAGAAAGGCCCAAGTGAGGAGGCTTCAATCCACTTAGAAGTGGGAAGGAAATAATCAATAGAGGTAGAAGGAAGGAGTGACCTGGATGTGAGCAGGGAGGGGGAGGGGCAAAAGGGGAACAAGAACAAGACATGGGGGGACAGGAGAGAAACCCAGAGGGCCAAGAGAATAAATGGAAACAAGCACCCTGGGGGCTGGGAAAGGTGACAAACCTTCTAGAAAGTATCAGAGACCCAGGAGGTGAGAGACTCTCAGGATTCAATGGGGGTGACTGTAGCCAAAATGTTCAAGAAGGAACTTTTTGAGAAGGAACTCGAAAAGTCCACCTCCAATAGATAGACAGGGTCTCAAGTGGAGGGATTGGGTTACTAACTCACAGTCAACATTTCTGACTCACAATTTTTCCTGTCTAAAAGAACTGCAGGGAAAAAATGGAGAATCGACTGAAGGGAAGGTGGCCCATTGATTGGTGCAACTTTGGATCCATCTCATGGGGTAGACACCAAGGCCTGATACTATTCCTAATGCTATGATGTGCTTACAGATGGCAGTATGGCATGGAGAGATCCTACCAGCAGCTGGCTAAGACAGAAGCAGATCCTTACACCCAACCATTGGACTGAACTCAGGAACCCCTATGGTTGAATTAGGGAAAGGATTGAAGAAGTTGAAAGGGAGGGTGACCCCATAAGAAGACCAGCAGTCTCAACTAACCCAGACCCCAGGGAGCTCTCAGAGACTGAGTCACAAACCAGGAGGCATATACAGGCAAGTCAGAGACCCCTGGCATGTATATAACAGATGTCTGTGTGGTTTGGCCTCAGTGGGAAAAGATGCACTTAATCCTCAAGAGACTTGTGGCCCCAGCGAAGGGAGAGGTCTGGTGGTGGGGAGCACCCTCTTGAAGAAAAGAGGGAGGAGGAATGGAATGAGGAACTGTGGGAGGAGTGGATCAAAAGGGGGGGCAACAACTATAATGTAAATAAATTAAATAATTAATTTTAAAAAGTTATTCTTTTCCCCTGGTTTCTTTCTAAAATTAATTCTAGCTTAACTTGATGAGATAAATCATGGAAAATATGAGAAATAAGTAAGAATAGTCTAAGAATACCTACCTCAGGTCCTGTGATGTGCATTAGACCAGACATAGCAGAAGCAATAGCATCATAACCTGCTCTGTGTGACATGGGTCCTGTCTGGCCATATCCTGCAACAAGAAGAACAAGCATTCAGTGCCACATGGGGTGTGACAGTGTGCTAAAACCACTCACCTCAAAAACCTGCAGTGCTGTTCCTATTACACCTGTGTGGCCCTTGGTGGAAGCAGTAAGAGATAACTATATACTAGGAAACAAAAGCCTTCTGAGTTGCTGGCCTCATTCTGCCTTAGGGGTGGTTTTATTTTGGTTTTTTGTTTGTTTGTTTGTTTGTTTTGTTTTGCTGCCTTTAGAATAGTTTGAAATGATTTTATTTAATTGGCAACAATTTAAAAAATAAAAAGAATAGCACATAAGACATGATTTCTGACTTTTCTTTAAAAGTCAGAAAATAAGACAGGCATGGTAGTGTGCCCCTTTAATCCCAGCACTTGGGAGGCAAAGGCAGGTGGATCTGAATTCAAGGCCAGCCTAGTCTACAGAGTGAGTTCCAGGACAGCCAGGGCTACGCAGAGAAATCTTATCTCAGGAAAAAAGGATGGTCAGAAATATATTCAGTGTTAGCCCCTTCTCCCACGGCAGCAAGCCAAGTTGAGTAACAGCTCCCCTTTATATGGGGTTCACACTCTCTCCTTAGGCCTCCTCCAGTGTCACCTCTTCAGCTCATTCGAAGCCCTCACTAGACACTACCTACGCTTCTGTGTGACAGGACAAAAGTGAAGCAAAATGCATTTACCTACATTAGGTTTGTTTATTTCTCAACTAAGCAAACAAGTTATAAGTGATGGAGTTTAAAGCTGGACATATTTGAGGAATGGTGGTACAGTGTGTACCTGCAATCCTAGCACTCAAGAGGCTGAGGAAGGAGGACCAGGAGATTGAGGCTAGCCTGAACTACATTCCTAGACCCTGTCTTTAAAAGAAGAAAGAAAGAAAGAAAGAAAGAGAGAGAGAGAGAGAGAGGGAGGGAGGGAGG